ACTGGCGAACAGATTATTCAGTTCACCCAGTAGGAATTTAGTTATCTGTGTTTGAGTGTACGCAGGCCGCGCAATGCGCGGCCCTAACTACTTGTATATATATATATTACATCTATACAATGGAATCAAACACAATTTATGGTGTAACTGATTAATAAATTCAGGAACACAAACGGAACTCTAAACTTCCAACCACGCATCCACAAACTCAACATCTCCCTCGCCCTGGCACGCAATGCCTCGGCCCAAAATCCCTCAGTCCCAAACCTCCAGCTCAAATACCTCGACACAATCCTCCTCACCGGCCCAGACGGCCAGCCCACAACCGGCCTCGACGCCGACGTCACCGGTTACGTCTCCTACCCAGGCTACCCGCCGCTCCCAGAAGCAACATATACCGGCGACGGCTTCGGCGGCGCTGGCCCAGGCGGGAAACGCATCTCCCTCGATCCGGAAGGCCTGGCCCTAGCCCACGACGGCAGCTTCTGGGTATCGGACGAATACGGACCCTACGTGTACAAGTTCAACCCAGAGGGCAAGATGACCTTGGCCATCCGGCCTCCGGAGGCGATCCTGCCCCACCGCAACGGGACCGTAAGCTTCAGCGCCGCCAGTGCGCCCGTCTATGACCCAAAGCGTGAAACGAACCCCGAGGACCCGCAGTCAGGCCGGAACAATAACCAAGGGTTTGAGGCGCTGACTGTCTCCCCTGACGGCAAGACGCTGTATACCATGCTTCAGTCGGCGCTGAACCAGGAGGGCGGGCCGAAGAAGAAGAATCGGCAGCCCGCTCGACTCCTGGAGTACGATATCGCCTCGGGAAAGCCCGTGTATACGCATGAATACGTGGTTCTGCTGCCCAAGTATGAGGACTACACGAAGAATTCGTCGGTGGTGGCGTCGCAGTCGGAAATGCACCTGCTTCCGACGGGTGATTTTCTGGTTCTGTCGCGGGATTCGGGCTTTGGACATGGGCAGCAGGAAAGTCGGTCGGTGTATCGGCAGGCAGATATCATCTCAATTTCGAATGCGACGACGGATTTGAGAGGGAAGTATGATGCGGTTGGGGCGAGCGTTGCTTCATCGAAGGGGAAGTTGAAGGATGGTATTACGCCGGCGGAGTATTGCTCTTTCCTCGATTATAATGTCGAGTCGGAGCTGGCGAAATTTGGGCTTCATAATGGTGGACCACAAGACGCTTCTCTTTTGAATGAGAAGTGGGAGAGTCTTGCCCTAGCTCCTGTGGACCCGGGTCAGCGAAAGGGTCGCGGTTTGAAGAAGGAGTATTTCCTGTTCAGTTTTAGCGATAATGACTTTATGACCCAAAATGGTAAGTTTTGTCTCGTTCATGGTTGGTCTCTGTGAGTGTGGCTGGCTAACGGTGAGCTTGTTAGGGCATATGAACTCTGGGCGGTTCAAGTACGCCGATGGATCTGGTTACAATGTTGACAACCAGGCTCTTGTCTTTAGATTGGAGTTCTAAGGATCTGTGTATATATTTCCTTTGAATAGATTGACGTATTAACTCCATTGTCCATCGCATTGTCCATTAAAGCACATGATTAACAATGTATATAATGACCGGCATCTTGTCGGCGTTGTGGCTGATGCCTGCACCGCGTACTAGTACAAAAGAAATTGCCGGCATTTGATGAGAGATGAAGTCGGCCGAAAACGCCCCCGTTCCATAAATGCAATCTTGACTTTGCCAAGTTCAGTCCAAAACAGCACTCGTTGTGATAATTTAAAAGTAAATAGCTGATGTGCGAATAACCGTGTGACAGAGGGGAGATCACTAAATCGCAAAGACCGGGACAAAACAATACAATGGTAACCATGTCGATCGATCATATCGGATATAGGTCCCTGGTCAAGTGCATCATCTTCGCCAGATTGTTCATAACCTATGACGGATACTTGCATTGGTATAGCGATATCTATGTTCAGTCACAATGGATTCAGCCACTAAGTGACAATGTTAATAGCGCGTAAGATGTCGTCCAGGGACCACCCTGGTCCACCAGGGACGATCTCGGCCCATACTTCCTCTGGGACAGCACTCTCTGGAGGAATCAAACTCCAGTTTGGACTAGGTTCCGGCTTTATCCATTTGAAGTCTTCAACTTGGCTCCAGTGATCTTCACTGTCCGGGCGGTCATGGTCCAAAGCCTGCAAGATCATGTGTTAGTGTGTTTGCGGTAAAGGGGACAACTACTCGGCGACGCACGTATGCTCTTGGGATCTGGCCAAATCGGATATCCGTGCAGTCTTCAATTATCGGGTTGCTGGATGTGCTCAGATAAACATCCACATTGGCACAGTTGTGCATGCGGAATTGACGGCAGGTAACTACTATGGTACTATTCTCCACGCCGGTAATGTGAGCCGGGCCATTGATCTGCCCGCAAACTAGCAAGCTCTCCCTGACACCCTTGATTGTCAGACTAGCGTAGGGCTTTCCATTGGCTGTTGGTATAGACATGTCCACAACGCAGTGGCGCAAGGAGGTGATAGAGGCGGGTACCGTCGCAGTGGAACCTGAGGACGGGAGCATAATATGGAGCCCACAATGGTTGTTCACTGATACAGATGACACAGCAGTTGCCGCAAAGGCTTTATTCTTCTCGCTCTTCGACTTATCCTCAGAATCATCCATATCAATTGTCGGGATGGCTGGGAAAGAAGTCGGGGCGATTTCTGCTCTAGGCTGTAGCATGCGATCCGGCTCATTCAATGGTGTGGAGGGATAGTTGGGCGTCTGAGCCGCCGATGAATCGACTGAGGAAGTCCCCGGCGAAAGGTATCCAGACATACTCCGACCTTGATATACTATATTGGCTGCATCGGACAGAGAAATTGCTGAAGCATTCTTCTTGGTCTTGAAGCTGAACTTCGGGCGTGGCTCTACCGCAGCCCGGGTCTCAGCCAGTTTATCTTGGAGTGCCTTGATCGCCTAGATGATGCATCAGTATGTGGCACTCGTCAAACCATATTTTTCATTCAACCTACTTCCGCATATACCCGCTGATCATATGTTGGAATATAGCTCGCTGCATCCTTGACTTCGTTTGACAACCGGGCAATGCCAGCTAGGCAATGATCGGTCGCATCTACTCGTTCTCCTCCCACAAGAGAAGTATCCGCCAGACGGTCCATCTGTTCCTGTAGAGCTAGAGGAAGCACGTGTGTTAGGTGATAGCTGACTGAAAATATAAAATTACAATCCATCTACTAGGTCATACCAGTAATCTCATGTTGGAAGTAACGGAAGAAGCGTTCTTTCAGAGGGATCTCAGATTTGAGAATAGTTTGATTCTCGGCCTGAGAGGGTCGACGGGCATCGTGAATCTCGGACATCTCGGACTGAGACATGATTATAGCCTGAGATGGGGCGTGGAGAGATCGATGAATGGAGGTCGTCTGTTCAGATTGTCTAGACGTTCCCGAGAAGGTCCGCGTAAGAATAGTGCGTGGGTATGATGACGTCGATTTGAGGGCATATAATCCAAGCCGGTTTGGGTTGCGTCGACCAGAACCTTGCGAGTACTACCCCTGGCTGAAGGCGTCACTGTCGATAAAAAGGAAAGATGTCTCTATAAAGCCATGCTGATATTAGCTTATCGAAGCTGCACGCAATCCTTTGGTACTGGAGTTGATAAGCTGCAGAAGCTCTGCCGGTCGATCACCCGCACGGTCCACCACTATCAGTAAGGGAAGGGATTTCATGTCATTGCACGACAGGGTCATTAGTATGTGCTCCCTGGAGCGAGACACGTACCTCTTGGGAATCTCTCGTGGCTGACTATCGCTTCCTCTTCCACATCTGCTGTTCCCCCAAGTGACGTCGATCATCATAGCACCCCCTCGGCGCTCGGAACTTCTCTTCTCCCGGGAGGAGCTCCCCCCGCACTAATCCTTTCCGGGTAATGACATGCATGACAGGTCGTCCTCAAGCACCGAATCTCTCTTAAGCATCAATTTCCTCTCTGCAATGCTGTAGTGACTACATTAGATTAACCTTGAGTATGTAGGATGGTTATATAAGTATATAATGGCTATTATAAATGGTATACTATAATCCTCCACGGTATCAGGCCGAAGAATTAGTGTGGAAGCATTCTTAGGGTCTCCATTGACGTTCTATGTTGACGGCAGTTCGGCCAACTTGGGCCTGCTGGGTATGGATATGTAACCATCCAATGGCGTGCTTTGTTGATTAGAAAGTAATGAAGTTCGTCTGGGCTGTGTATCACCGGTGGGTCGGTCGAGCATGAGCCGGTCAAAATCAGAGCGCAGATCATAGTCTTTGGATGTCTGGGTACCCTCATGCAACCGTACCATCCTGAGCATCAACTTCCCACTATCCATCCAGAAAAGAAGCACCTCATCGTCCTGTGGGAAGGATAAGGTCAAATAGCCTGGCCTGAAAACTGAGGAACTTATCTTGTGAGAGGCCTTTTTCAGCCGAGTCACACGCAGAGTCCCACTCGCCTTGGTGTCAAACAAGTATATCTGATTCATACCGTTTGCAATCGTAAACTGTGACCCCGAGGATGACTGGGCTGCGTGGATTATTCGGGTGTTAGCTGGATCGTTAAGCACATCTTTGTCGGCGATCGAGGATGATGTTGGGAACTCCCTCTCGAAAAAGGCCGGCAAGAGAACTGCATGATGAATAGTATCGTAGAACACGCAGGTGAGATCTTTGTTGTTGGTTGTTCGCTTGTACTATCAGCCAGGGTTTTTCAAGAGAACGGCTAGCACGTTGAGAGAACGTACGTGAGAAAGTCTAAACGACCTTGATCGCCCTGGGACAGTATCCCACCTTTTTAGGGAAAGGTCCCACACATCAACGTAGGCGTTGCTATCTTTAAGGTGCGTCGCAATGACGAAATATTTTCCGTCAACAGAGAATTGAAGTTTCCTTTCAATGATCGCTTCTTGTTCCCCTCGTATAACGTCATTACCTAGAGTCGTCGGAATGCGATTTGGGGCATGTGACAGTTCACACAGGGATGCGCTGGCGTCTCCTGAACCGCCAAATGAGACTCTTCTGATACCGTTTGGTATCAGTTCGTAAACTCGAGCTTCGTTTTTGAGTGTAAAGGCAACGTAGCGGTCATCGCGGGACATGATCATATGGATAGGAGGTAGAGATGGATGGTGAATCTCGATTGGTAAATGAGCTTCGGGACTGGGGCCAGATCCCTTAAATACCAGAAGCTCATAATGCTGAATGGGGTGTTAGCCCTAAATCAAGTAGTAACGGTGAAATGTAGTAGGAAACCGTATTACCTCTCCAACTGCGGCAATCACTGCGCATCGCTTGTCCCCTGCGGCAACGTACTGCACACCGGAGACATCGTATCTATAACCTTTTGGCTTATGCCCGCCCCCGCTGGATATCTCAAACCTTGATACCCAATTGCTTCCAACGCCCCAAAGAAGAAGACTTCGCCCTGAAGCAGAAAAACAGAACCTGGGCTCACGAGGTAGCTGATTTCTTTTGGCCGATACCCTTCTAAACAGGGAGGAGCCGCTGGAGAAGGGCAGGGTGACATTCTTAAGCTCTCGAGGGAATGATTTCATCATGGGCTTCTCGTATGAATGATCTGGCTTACTACGCGCCAACCATGAGCCATGCGGGTCGGAGGCCGTGGTAGGAGACTGTCTGAGTCCTGATTTGAACGTCAGAGGTGATATCGGGCTCCTCGTCCCGTCGCCTGAGTCTATGTGTACGGATGAATGACTCGTGGAATGGCTGAGGGAGCTCGAAGAGGTCGTGTCTCTTGACAGGGAGTCGGGGAACGAGTAACTCCTAGTGCTGCCTGATTCGAAACCGGGGCGCGATTGGGAGACCCTGGCGGGTTTAATCATCCGTATGTGCTGTATTTTTGTGTTTGTTGGACACAGAGGGCAGGAAATATTCAGGGTGAGGTATTGAACATTTCCTCGTAGTTGCTGTAGAAAGGGTCAAACTTCTGCTATTGCTGCCTTAAAAACCAATATAAATGTATCACGAAGGGGGCCCGCATACCTCATAAGCACCCCTGTCGCAGCCATTCAATCGCTCCTCCAGTGCTGCTCTAGGCACCGAGTGTGCAGCGGGACAATCCACGAGATAAAGCACATCGTCTTGACGACTTACTTGGCTCGTCTCATGGACGGGTGAACACTGCAACCACTCCGTCAGATTTTGTTGATAGTCATGAGAGACGGCCTCAAGTTCTCCGTTGCAACCCCACAATTGGACTCTCCGGTTGATAAGCCATCTCACCAGATGGCCCAGAGACCCTTCACAGACTTCCCTGATACGAGATAGCTGAGCCCAGTTATCTCTGATTCTCCGTGTTTGTAGAGGTGGATGAGCTTCGGCGTTCTGGCTTAGTACGACTGTCGCTAGAATTTGAAGGGGTGCCGAAGTAAATTCATCATCAAAAGCTGCCAACACCGTCCTAGCCAGCTTCATCCTGCTTTCCCGTGGTCGATCAAACGATTCGTCAACATCCGGGTCTGCTGACAGGGTATGCCCTTGTTCTTGGGATATCCGGCGGCGATCTATATGGGACTGTACCATTGTCGCTTCCGCGGCCCAGAGCATGTCGTACAAGGACAAGAAAGGGGTCAACTGATCGTTATTGTTCCCAAGAAAGGCCGTTAAGAGGTCTGTTAAATGTGTTTCTGTGTTCCCAAGGAAGGGATACTAACATGCGTAAGCCGAGTCCGCTTTCGGGACTGGTGCACAGAGACAAGTCAGAACTTACAGATTCCGAAGTGACAAATTTAGGATTTTGTCCATGTGATGCTGGAAAGAACGCATGACCTTTCGATAAGTCCGACGATTCCATACTCTCGATCATTTTCGGTAGCAAGTTACTGACCATAAATCGCTCTGCGCTGGGTAATTCGGAGTCCTGCCATGCTGTTCGTATCGCACGTTCCAGATTGAATTTCATCTCATGGCGTACGCTTTCACCGCGCAGTAGAAGCAACCGCGCGCCGGCGAGTAAAGTGAGCGTGAGAACGTGTCTATATTTGACCAGCTCAGGATTTACCGGTTTGTTGCAAGGGAACAACTTTGGCTTGACCTGGACTAGGTACATGAGAGTTGTGAAAATGACTTCCGACGGCAATAGGTAGAGAGGGGAGCACGGATGGCCATCGTCGAAGTTGGTCAGCCCTTGCAGATACGTCCTCTGCAAATCGAAAATGGCTTTTATCCAGAACACCGGGTGCATAAGAGGTTCGACCTTCGCGTCGGGGCTATCTTCCGCTTGAAAAATGGCGACATCTGTCGCATGTTCGCCGATAATTTCCCTCAGGATATTTGTAATGTCACGACGGCGCAACTGTTCCCACACTGCTGCCACGAGTGGATGTGACATAGGGAAAATGGGGCTAATCGGCCACAAGCATACGAGCGATCAGGTTGATAGTTGACAGCGTAGTCGGCAGAGCGTATTTGCGATCTGTTTGTAAAATTGCGACGGAAAGGTGCGACCGCGTTGTGAGATGGAAGTTGAGAAGATGGCATTGTTCAGCGGGAGTGAGGTGACCTGACAAGTCCGAAAACATTATCGAGTTTGTGAAAGGGAGAAGTGTGCTGCAAGGCTATCTCAGCTGATGCGAGGCTGCGTGTCTCGTCTTACATGGGCAAACGTTGTCCCTGTCATCTTTCCCCCTCCCAGACGGTAGAATTGCCCAATCATGTCGGACCGTCCTGCAAGGACCATTGTACATTATTCGGGGACAGGAAACGTCCTGTGTGGGCAGTTAATCTCCAGTTGTAACACGAAAAAAAAGAGAAATTCTCGGGGTTCAGGTCGGTTGGGTACACATACAAAGGAATGACTTGTCACAAATGCTGTTTACTAGTCAATCAATTCCATGTCACCTGGCCAGCAACACTATAACCCTCTCTGTGAAACCCTAGATGAATCTGCAGGAAGGATTCGGATTATATTATTTCAAAGGCATCGGATGTGTTACAGAGAGAGAAGAAAAGAATATTATCTAGTAGAGAGTTTGTTAAAAAGAAAAAAAAAAAAATCTCCGTACCCCCGATCAAGCAACTCAACTGCGATATACTAAATTTAACCCTACATTGGTGGAACTCAACACGCATTCTTCATGAGATCAGGCTAGAAACCACCTTCCGGAAAAGAACCTCATTCGAGCCTCTGGCCACCATTGCTTTATAGCGCAGCCGGTGCTTACATTCCTCAAGGGGGCATTGCTTCAGAGAGCACGTGGTGCATCTATAAGATGAGAGCTACACAAAAGGGTAGAGTTCCCATTGTCCCACCAGGTCGCTTTATCCACCGGATGAAATAGCATATAACAGAGAAGAAAAGAAGGATGGCTACATCTAGTGTCTATGGAATAGGGCACGGGACGTAAGTGGACAGTAGCAGTAAAGCAAACACGCTACATACGGGGGGAGTATGTACTCCCTAATATAGTAGAATTGGTAGTTACTACGGCAAAGTCACGGCTCAAGCTTTGCTTCGGGTCACACTGGCATTCATGCAACTGAAACATTTACGGATATTCCTTCCTTGTATCTGCCTTGTAATCTAGATGCCGAAACATATATATATGGTCATATGTAATTAGGCCGAGAGATTTGCCGGTTGTTGTTGTATGTTTCACAGTGAATGAAAACAGTGAAGCTCAGCTTAGATTATTCGGATCAGTCCATCATACCGGCTAAAAATAGTCGGGACGGTCAGTATATTCACTTTCTGAACCATGGTCCAAGTTCCAAGGAACATAGGTAATGGCTCTTTGTTATGGGTTGGATAACCAGAGCCATTAATACTACCATCTTTCGTCATATTTAAGCAACCCTATCGGTAAAGCGATATCTTCTGCATCCTCACATTTGTTTCAGCAACATCAACAGCAACAGCAACAGAAATGCTCCATACGATGTTTATCCACAGTAAGGGATTTTCGTGTCATGTCATGGCTATGGCCATGGCTATCATACTGCTCTCCTACAAGGCAGATGCTCAAACCTTCACCTCGTGCAACCCTCTCAAGGAAAGTGAGTAATAGTTGCTATTTGAGGGTCCCCCCGACGACTGCCTAACCTCTACAGGCTGCCCCGCAGACCCGGCTTTTGGAACTTCGGCTTTGTTTGACCTGACCAAGTCTGTCCCTAAGGGATGGAAGCCTGTAGGAGCTGTCACCCAAAACAACGACGGGGTGGCCTTGGCCGTTGCAAAGAAGCTCGATGGCCCCCTGCTCCAGTCAGACTTTTACATCATGTTTGGCCGAGTCGAATTCACCATCAAAGCTGCACCCGGTACGGGCATTGTCAGCAGCGCAGTTCTTCAGTCAGATTGTCTGGATGAGATCGACTGGGAATGGCTTGGGGGTGACAACGCTCAGGTTCAAACGAACTACTTTGGCAAAGGAGATACCACTACGTACGACCGTGGTGCCTTCCATGCAGACCCTGATAACCACGATACCTTCAAGACATACACTATTGATTGGGACAGCAATCGTATTATCTGGCAAATCGATGGTGGCATAGTTCGCACCTTGGAAGAGAAGAACGCCAAGGGACAATATCCGCAGACACCTTGCTACATAAAGGTTGGCTCTTGGGCTGCTGGTGATCCTTCCAATGCCGCGGGAACAATCCGTATGTTAAATGATCTCTCAACTTAATTATGTGAATGCCAAACTTAACATTAGATATCAGAATGGGCGGGTGGTCAAGTCGACTATTCTAAGGGGCCCTTCACGATGTACGTGAAGTCGATTAGGGTTACAGACTACTCGACTGGGACTGCATACGAGTACACAGATAAGTCTGGCTCGTGGAAATCTATCAAGGCAGTTGATGGAACGGTCAAGGGCGACAGCTCAGGAGTCGTCACTACCTCGTCTAAGGGCCCTACCGGTTAGTATGACTATCCATAAGCTAGGAATTGAACGCTAGTTTTGCTACTCGCTATATCCGACGTGTTATGCTCCAAGAGCTTCTACGCGTTATCGGCTTCCGGGCCTCTTAATATCTTGAAGTCCGACACTAATGCTTGATATCTTCCAGCGATTTCCTCCACAGCTCTTTCTCTTGCCAGCACCTCCCAAATTGACAATTCTGTCTGCAGCACTGCTTCAGCTCCTGGTTCCCTGCCTACTACCGCGGTCCATTTCAATGGTACCATGACGCTTCCTACCTCGAACCCAACATTGCCTTCTTCGTCCTCATCTGGCCAGCCACCATTAGCCACTGGGGCAGCCAGCAAGGGCCAATTGAACGAGTACTTCATAATCTTGCTATTGGGTCTGGTAGCTTCACTGCTCATCTGAGGCCCCATCACTTAACGTACTGTATTAGGAAAGGCCCGGAACCAAATTCCTTCCCATTTCTTTTTCAGTTTCATATCCAATTCGGGCGGATGTTGAGCATTCGCAAATCTTTCTTCTGATTCTCGTTTCTTGTCTTAATTCACGATAGCTCGTTTTGGGACTTTCAACCTGTATCAATAGTCAATGTAATGCGTTGGCATGCAAGATCTCATAGTGTAGGAATTTAATCAAGCTAAGTGGTTGATCCTTTTCACACAATTTCCGGAGCCACCGTTATGGTGGAATCCCTTCTGGAATATCTACTCAAATAGTCCAATTCTAGCTTAACATGTGATCATGATAGTATATCAATTAGAAATTAAACCCGCATCAAGTTAAGCACAGCGCTATGGATGGCAAGATCACTTACCCACGGGACTCCATTAGCCTGAATTGAAATGTATCGCGTTATGGCACTATCGCGTAAGTAGTAGCGCTTGGACCGTGAATTTTTGCGGCAGGGACTTAGTTCTCGATCTTGACAAGTCAAGCTTTTATGGGAGTTGCCATGCTCTGAGTGATTTTGCTGCCTTTGTGGATGTGGATTTTTCTTTGGAGATGGGGGCGGGGGATATGGCGTTCAAACAGGTTCGACTTAAGAGAAGCAAGACTAGTTTGGTGCTGTATCACCTAGCGTTTAAAGCATCTGCGTCGGTCACCTGGGAGGGGTTGGCGTGAGACGGCGAAAGTATGTTAGATTAATAGCATACTATTCAATATGGGCGCGAGTGGCAAATAGTGGTGGCGGGACTGTACTGGTTTTGTTAGGATTAACATTGATTTTTAAAGCATGAGTATAGAACGTAGGGTTTTTTGAGAAATATCAATGGAGTTGAATGGTGTGAGCTATGTTCTGGGAACCACGATATATATGAAGAGCCAAGCGATTTATTTACAGTAATCCGGATTACCGTTCGGATTCCCCCACCACGTGGGAAACGGGCGTTCCTTACCAGCTGCCCCTAGGACCGCAAACGAGAGAATGAATATGATAATTTGCGATCCTCCATCCATGGCAGCCCCAATGAGATAATTGTACTTGTTGTAGATCTCCGGAATCCGGCGTCTGAGCCAGAACTGCGAAAAGACACCAACAGCAATGGACGACCAAACCCATGACGTATTTCCATAGTACGGCATGCCAGCATAGGTAAGGATAATCGCTGTGTTGAGAGGCACCTTCTTCAGAGGGGGGTATATTTTGATCAGGGCCCAGTGTACAAAAGGCACGGCAAGCCCGATCACTAGACAGAGGGGAACAATGAGATAACGGCTGTTAACGCCGTAGATTTCCTTTGCCAGCGCCCATGTAATAGCCTGTGTATTTAAGGACTGCACAAATGAGCCGCTCCAGACGCTGTTGCCCACTGGATCGAGGAGAATCTCGCGTTGGTTGCTCACAATCGTTGTCATGACGACGTAGTTCAGTGCCGCTCCAAGGAGGGTACCATATATTTGGGTGCCAAACATGACACGGTGCGGGACTTTTGTGTACTGTCCGACTTTGAGCCAATTGGCTAAATTGACCGAGAGAAGAATAACTTGGTGGGACCAACTGGCGAAGTAGAGATTGGCAATGGGGCGGCCGGGATGAAGGGCACCTGCCACCATCTTGGAAAGCTGGTTGGTGCTAACTCCATTTCCATAGAGACCGTAAAGTATGCATGAGAAAGGTGCGATAAAAGCGCCGAGTAGGAGGGAAACAATGTAGCCCCAAACGGGAAGGGTGGTTTCACCTTTGATATTGATAATTAACCCGGCGACAAAAGCCAGGACGAAAAGTACCACGTACCACCAGATTGGGACTTCCTTGTACTTCAACATCGCCTGATAGTGTGGGTCAGGTTGAGTCCTGCTACGTGCTTGCTTCCACGCGAGGATCATATCTTTGCTGTAGAAGATGAAAACATGGGTGATCAGTGCACCGATGGCCAAGTTCTGTGTAAGATAGCCCCACACAGTGCTTGAAGTCATAGAGGGCAAACCTGTCTCCTGGAGCTTTGCGAAATCAATTTTCTTATGATTGCCCATGACAGATGAGATGGAGAACTGCGTGCCATTGCTCGAAAAGAGTGAAGTGGACATGAATGGGAAGTTCTTCGCATCCCAGGTATTGTTGTAATATAGACCGAGCATGGCGCAATACAGGATAATGTAGCCAATCCAACTGTTGAGCTGTTGCTTGAAAGGCAGCGAAAGGTATGTGCTCTGAATATATTGCCAGTCGAATGAAAAGTTCAAGAGGCCCATACCTTCGTTGGACGAAGCGCCCCCGAAGATCGTAGAGAAGATGGTTCGAATATGGTCTGGTGCATGCATGGAGGCAAGACAGAAGATAGAGAATCCGGAAAGCCAAGTCATGATATAGACGGGAAATATTTCCCAAACAGCGGTAATCAGCATGGCCCAGCCAAACTTGACTAGGCGGTCCCTATTGGCGCGCCGGTCAAAATGAAGGCTTTGATATAGCACCACCTGAGGAAGCGTTGACCAATACACCATCTCTGCAGGATAGACAATCAGCGGCCGCAACACCCCTGCCAGGACGAATCCACAAAGAGAGATAGAGAAAGTTCCCAGAACCGCCGTAGTGGCAGTTACACTTGTATTGTAGAATAGTCTTTCCACGGCGTAAATTTCCACACCGGAGAGACCGTTGTTCCCGGACGAGGCGATTAGAGCAGCAACAACATGTTCTTTGATCGTGAAGCGCTGACCGAAGTTGAGAAAGTGGAGTACCGACTGTAGCCATTTCCATTTTACCCTGTCTGGGCGAGGTGTACAAAGGGCCCACGCTTCCCCAAAGACATAGACAAGGACTATAGGCAAATGTGTTAGTGCACAGTGTACATAGTCTCAACATGGGAAGAGACCTACGTTGCAAGAAGACTGCAGAAACTTGCGCTTGGTACGGCTTGAAGACATAAAGCATTGTGATCACGCTCGAAAGGGCCGTGAATATTGTGCCTAGTACTATGGAACGAAAGGTGAGAGAAGGGTCGCCGTCATCCCGGTCAGATACTATGAATTTGGATACATCGGCACCTGATTTGAAAGCATCAGCCATAATGGAAGAATGAGCGGTCACAGGAAGCAGTCACCATTCCGGATGATGGGATGCCCCTTCACGTATTGCACATCCTCATCGTCACCTCGGGGCCCCAGCGACTCGTCACTACCCGTCTCGCGTGGTGGCTTTTGCTCGCTGACAGTCTCGTATGCTTCTTCCGTTTTGTTGCCTCTTTCTAATGGTTCTGAGGCATTCGAGACACCAGCCCCAGTTGTTTGTACTTTCGCGTAGTTCGGCATTTTCCTGATGCCGAGGAATATGGGGCGACAGCCACGATTTGGAGGGAGGAGGTGGGGAGAAGACAAGAGATCTTCAAGATAGCTCCAGGAGCGGAGAGAGATTATGGAGAATTATGGAATCCCATTCTGGCAGTTAAGAGGAAGAAAGGAACCAAGCCATCAAGAGATATAGTTCTTTATAGTCGGTGTCCAACGGCACTCCGACTGACCTTTTTTCTTCATTTTCATATTGTATGGTGCGATTCGTAAGTTGGATGATAAGAGCGGAGGGCATGAAAGGTTACATCCAATAGATGATGTGATTTTAATTTCAATGGTGAAATCAGTTAGTGGTTGGTAGTATGCATGACCCTCAGGGGGAACCGTGGCCAATTAAGCCCACTGACATGAATTGATCCCAACGATAACCATCGTGACTAAAATGGTGTATGTCTCCTTAGTAGACAGGGCTTCTAGGGACGTAGATCCTTTCCCAACCATGACTAGAGGATATTTCCCCCGTGACTGAGACACCGTGACATAGAATTCAATTCAAAATAAAATACCCTGTAAATAACCAGTACCGTGTTCCCGTCTTGACGCTGGAAGTCACTTCGAATCAAGGCTAGTGGGTTACTGAAGGGCTGTATGCAATGGTCTGTCTTTAACCAATTAACTGACCTACCCCGTGACAACACCTTTCCTCACAGCTTTGTCGTTGAAATTCATTCGAGGAACAGAATGTTCAACCTCTCATCATTATTTCAATAATTGGAACAAACACTTTTTTTTTTATTATCCTTCTAAAACGATGATACAAGCAAAGGTTTCAACCTAAGAGAACAGGATTGTTCTTTGAGTGATTTTTTTCTACGGATCTTTTGTCTTCTAGGAAATACACATTGGGCCTAGGAGGCTAATGACTAAACAGACAAGCGGATGGAGTGTGCCGAAGAGGTGATTTCCCCTATCAGTGACCCCTGTGCCCTTGTACTTGTTCTCCGAGATACGTAGGGTTATGAAATGAAGATCAGTATACCTCGCAAGACCAAGTGTCAAAATTTCCACCAGAAACACATCCAGCTTGTATGGTCCCAGTGATAACCACAATAGGAGCCTCCTTGTTAGTTTTCCAGAAGTTTGCACAAAGTTCAAGACAGTTTCTCCACTGTTAATGCCGAAATCCTTGAGGATGATAGCAGAAATAACAGTCAGGTGGGCGTTTCCGAGATCTTTAGGCTGTTTAGCGTGAACATATATAGCCAGCGAAACGCGTCATTGACCCTAAAGGCCGTGGGTTCTCCGCTCCTCATCAAAGCGACAATCAATGTCTCATGCTCGCATCGAAGTCTATGTCCGGTAATGTCATGACCTTGGGTGTGAGGGGTGGTGATTTCGTCAAGGCCCAAGATAATAGGTAGGAAATTGATAGCTAAATAACAGCCCGCACATCCAGGCTGATCTTAAGAAGCAGCCCCTCACTCATACAAGGGGCCACATGGCTAGGCAGAAGACATTGCTCTGCATTCAGACTGTCCTTTTCAATTGCTTTTTCCAAAGCATTGTCCATCGCCTTGCTTGGCATTCTCTCCTTTTCCACCACCACAATGGCTCGGTCTGCCTTGGAGACATTTTGAGTCCAAGTAAAGCTTGATTGAAATAGAATATGATACTCTAGGATCTGAGAAACCTGGTGGAGATGTCAAAAAACCTCCAATACACTTGGTTTATGCCTGATTTCCTAGCTAACCACATAGAAAAGAAGAGGTACATTGTTCAGCATAATATGTAGTTGGTGGAATGTATACAACTAAATCATACTACAGCCTCTTCTTTACACAAGTGTAATTGAGCCAATGTAAACATCCCAGAATAGTTCGGACTTGTCCTGTTGGTTGCCGAAGTCTAACGTATTGTACCTAACACAACACATCACAAAAAATCGGCGCATCCAGTAGGTAACACATGGCCTGCAAGCTCAATACCAAGGATCCTACAAACGAACGGAAAAAGGCGCGGAGAGGTAGGCGAAGCCAGCGCAACCGGCCCAGTTGGACCTCGAATAGTTAATGAAATATCCAAGGTCTCTAGCTTAAAATACGCAATGATAGTAATAATATTATCTTTGAGTCTTAGTTGAAAAGTACGAGGTCCTAGAATACAAGATGCACACGGCCATGGTCATGGGATGTAGGATGTGCTTCCAAGCTTGATAGGATACTATGGCTGACATGTCATTGTTGATACTATGCCAGGAGTATAGGCTGAGATTAAGAAGAAGGAACCTCCTCCAGCCTTCAGCTGTTTGTGCGGGGTACTGTTTATGGAATTACCGTACTTGATCACCTGACGCACGTCCCCACCTGCCGCACGGATTTCTATATACACCGACTTTTTGACTTCAATTTCAAACCACCACAACTCCGTCAATATGGGTTCAATTGATGAGGCGCTTGCCTTTTTAGAATCCCTAGATCCAGGAGAATCGTTTAAATATGCGGAAGTTGTAAAAAGATTTGGTGTTGATCGTACAACTCTCTCAAGGCGTCACCGCGGTGTTATGTATTCAAAAGAGAACCAATACGAAAACCAGCGATTACTTAACAACCAGCAGGCCAAAACTCTTATAAGTTATATTAATAAACTCTCTGAGAGAGGCCTGTATCCCACCTCTGAGATACTTTAAAATTTTGCTAAAGAGATCTCAGGAATAAAGCCTGGAAAGCACTGGCCAAGCTGTTTTCTAAAGAAATGTCAAAATGAGCTGATCTCTTGCTACACTACTGGAATTGATTCTACATGCAAGAGAGCTGATTCTGCATTTAAATATACTCTATACTTTAAGTTACTTGCCAGAAAGATCAAGGAATATGATATACAGCTTAAAAATATATATAATATGGATAAAAAAGGATTTCTTATTGGAGTGCTATCTAAGGGCAAAAGAATCTTTTCCAGGCACTGCTATAAGCAGGATAGAATAAAGTAACATCTACAAGATAGTAATCGAGAATAGATTACTATAATTGCTTGTATTTGCGCGGATGGAACAGCTCTACTACCAGGGCTTATTTACCAGGCAGCTTCAAGCAATCTACAAGACTTTTGGTTCCAGGATTTTGATACTATAAAGTACCGCTGCTTCTTTATCTCTTCAGCAAGCGGCTGGACAAATGATAACATTGGATTCGTATGGATTCGGGATCTATTCAATCCAGAGACAAAGAGCAAGGCACAGAGGTAATGGAGGCTTCTAATTTTTGATAGCCACGGATCCTATATTATAATGAAGTTTATAAACTTCTGTATAGAGAATTAAATTTATTTAATGACTTATCTACCGCATTTAACTTATTCTTTACAGTCTCTTGATATTGGTATCTTCAGCCTGCTTTTAATAGCTTATAGCAATAAATTGGAGAGCTTTTTACATGTCTCTCAGGGCCTAAGTTATATTATAAAGTGTGACTTCTTCTGCCTATTTTAGCCGAGCTGGGAAGGAGCTTTATTATCTAAAAATATTAATTCTGTGTGGAAATCTGTTGGCATATTACTCTGGGACCCTGAGATTATTCTCAAGCGGTTTAGCAAAGAAGATAATTAATAGCTATCTAGCAGTAAGTCATTCCAGTCTATATTATATACAGATAACTAGAGAAGAATTAAAAAGCTTCTTTGACAGGTTATTTCTGATATTTATAATGAGAGGTTAAAAAAACTTAGTTTTATAATGTATTATCTCTTAATAGAGAATATCTTGCTAAAGCTATGCTGTGAGGGCCTTGAGAATGCTCTTCTAAATAAGAAGAAGAAGCGGCAGTGTGGAAAATCTCTTTTATTTATGATATGAATCTATAGGAGACACGTGATCGCCTAGCGGCTTGGCCGGATCACCCACTCCTTCAGCCCCTGAAGGCTTCACCCATTAGGAGTAGATCAAGAGAAGAAGAAGCGCTCAAGATAGTTGATATAGTCGTCCATAGAATTGAGATCTATCGGAATGGCATCCGGTCCTCAGTAGGCTACGTAAGTGTAGCTGATACAGCCTCATCCTGCCCATCTTTCCCCTGAGATCACAACAATTTAAATTGAGAGCTCCAGAGGATGGCTATACTGTATTTTATTTGCTAGGCAAGATACAGCAAGCGCGGCAGCTTCAGAGTGAAAAGAAAGCTGCTATAGAGCTTGCTAAGGTCTCTAAAGAGTAAGAAAAGCTTCACTAGCAGCAAGAGAAGTAAGAGAAACAGTGCTTAGTTAAGGAAAGAAAACAAATTAGGGCAGCTAATAAAGAATTATATCTTCTTGAAGTAGAGTAAAAGAAACGCTAGAAGAAGAAAGAGCGCCTGGCTAAGGAGACTAATAACCAGCTTTAAAATAACTTTAAAGTAATCTAAAAAGGCAAGAAGAAGTGTTCTATGCCAGCTATATCTCAAAAGAAGCAAGATATTGCTATTCCAGAGCCTCAGATTAATACGGAGGGCTGTATATCTGTAAATCGTTGTGGAAGACAAATACGCCTCCCACAACGATTCCGGGATTGAAAAAAAGCTGTATATAGCTTTACTGGCATCATATCTCTGCTTCATCAAAAAATCTAAGTATAATTTATTTTGTATGTTGCTTTAAAGCTTCATTTTTAATGTTGGTTGCCATACAGAAATTCGTGCGGCAGGACGTGCGTCAGGTGATCAGGTACGGTACAAGTAGCACGAAACAATAGCTCAATGCTCACAGAGGTAATAATACACATGAGAAGAAGAGACCAATTACTCCTATTCAGAAAACACACTCAGCGTCACGTGCCCCACGCCAGTCTTATTCAAGTTTTTATTTTTCGGGCTCCCTTGGAAGCGACAAATTCCATCAAATTCATTAAGTTGGTATCCTTATGAAGCCACCCGGCTAGAGAAATTTTGCAGATTTCGCTTCATAAGGCTCAGGGTCCATCGGTGGAGGCATGACATGGACGGGGAAAGTAAAATCCAAGATCGTTGTCCTAAACTACTCAATCACACAAGAATGTTAGCTGGAACCAATGTTGGCTGGACAAAACTTCCTACCCTGTGATAACCCGTTTGTAAGCCGAGCCTAACTTCGAGCTTGTACGTTTGACTGATATTGCATGTCTCAAACGATGGTGTGAGCGCGATCGGTACTAGGCGCTTGCTCCAGAGCCCGTCTCCAATGCATAACTCAGCTCCATGGGAAGCATTATCGTGGCAAACAACGTGATGGATATTTGACATGGTTTGTACGACCTGGAACTGTGTATCCTTTTCAATAAGCCCAGATGCATGCACCTCCGTTGTCCCCACAATCATAGTCTGGAAATCGTTCAGCCATATAAAGCATTCTCTCTCCCCGATTTTGGTAAGCTTGATCTTCAATGGGATAGGGTAGCCTAGAAGCAAACACTGCCCGTTTAGAAGTTCGACATCGACCTGAAATGCCAGCGGGCTACTGGAGCCGGTAGAATCATGATTGACGGGGAGAATGCATCTTCTCCCTAGAATGCTCTTCGGAAGACTAAAGTCAGGCACCGGGTAGAACAAAATATTTCGCGTCTGTCAAAGGGGCGGTTAGCATGATTGGAATATGTTCTTACACGCATATTCAGGCTACTCAACTAGTTTTTCCACCCCTTTTATGAGGCCCGTCTTTGTCACGGTGACATCCAGGTAGTACTTGATCTCCCAAGGTGATAATGTGTCTCCCGTTGAAGGTGGAAGCCTTCGTAGTATATGGTTTGTTTTGGTCTTCCGAGATAGAAATCCTGTGCAAGAAGAGTTCTGTTTGCTTCCATCTAGGCTGATCTTGTGGCATTCTGATCTTGGAGGGAACTAAGCACGAGAAGTAGACATCAGTAAGATCAGCTCAAGATCGGGTTGGTGGAGGAGGCTGTCAAACCTACTGGGAGAGAGAATGGAAATATGTGCGTCCCGGGACCGACGGTTAGACTGCCAGAAACCGGTATCTCGGTCATCTTGCGAGGAGGAAAAACATCCTGAAACCTCTGGAATAGCTATTTGCGAGGGTTAGTAACTGGCTATGCCATTAGGAATTTACATACGTACTTGGTGGGACTCTATGTATCTTCTAGAGCTGAGCCGCGATGTCGCTATTCCAGACAGCCTGACAGTAATCGTTGAGATATTGACTGGTGTCCTATTACGTAGGAGTATATGCCCAAGCACAGTGTCTTTGTCTGTATAAGCTCCCTTTTCATGATCAAGTCTTATCTGGACATCCATCTCCACGATTTTCGACCAAGTGAGCCAGTGATATACCTGCGATCCTGGGTTTGGGGTGAGGGAAAGTCTGAAACTATCACGGACACTCAATGCACTGAAGGTCGGTCAATCAAGAATGTATTGCTTGCTCTAGTGGAGTCAAGAGTATAGTCTTATGGGTTTAAATAATCGTGCTAATTAACGTTTTACGATGGACACAGAGCACATATAGCACATAAAAAGGTGCTGACATGGAACTTCTTGCACCGGATTTTTCGCTCTAATCCTGCTCCAATCTCAATTGTTCCGAACAGTTGAAGCTGCGCTCGGGAAACTAAGTAGCGAGCAGTTTTAGCCTGCATGCTACAGACAGTGAAATTTTCTTATTCATTTTGCGGGTGAAAATTGGTGGAAAGACAAACGCTCGGAAAGTGAAGAGTTCGGCCGACTATTTTTATCTGCTGCTTCCAGAATGATTCTCAGCGCCGCCCCACAGTGCCGTTTATCAAACCCTAACATACAGCAATAACATTGCACTGGACTCTTAGCCTAGAGATTCATGGTGTACTTCGTAGTGGATAATCCCCGTTTCGTATAGCCCTTCCCTTCCCAGCTGGACTTGTTTTCTTGTAAAACCTAGTTTAGAAATGCAAAGAAACTCTTTAACCAAATTTGTTTCAGGACTACTGACAATCTTGTTGTAGAACCGCGAAATCATGGACAGAAAATCAGACCAATCTATATCCTCTCTAGAGTCTACCGGCAATATCTCACCATTTGAGAATGGTCATTCGCTTAATGTAAGTTCCTACCACCTGGCTCTTTGCTTCCGTATATTTAAAATTTTATTAACTAACGCTCCTTGGATGTATCTTAGGAAAGGCACGGCCCTGAAGATCGACTGTATAATGATGAGCATGCAGAGTCTCTACTACATTCTGTTCCTTTGGGTCCTCCCTATCACACAATTAATCATGAACCACGGTATTCCGATTTCGAGACTTCAGGATATGACCCCCTACGGACTCCTGAGTCACTGACCAGAGATCAATTTACCTCGTCTACGAGTCTTTCACAATCAGGTGATATATCAGTGCCAGACTTATGGAAACAGCGACAGACACCTGCCCCCAGCGCCCTACGCCGCTATCCTACGCGCAGAATTAACTTGGTTCAAGGCACAGTTTTAAGTGTTGATTATCCAGTACCTAGCGCTGTCCGGAACGCTATCCAACCAAAATATCGTGACGCCGAGGAAGGCTTTCCCGAAGAGTTCACACATCTCAGATGTAAGGGACTGCGCTATGGTTGCAGCATAGAGAAGCTGACTTGTTCTAGATACGGCAGCCACTTGCGACCCTGACGAGTTCACTCTACGCAATGGATACAACCTGAGACCTTCGATGTACAACCGGTCTACAGAATTGCTTATTGCCATTACTTATTACAATGAGGACAAAGTGCTCACGGCCCGAACCCTCCATGGGGTCATGCAAAACATTCGGGAAATCGTTAATCTCAAGAAAACAGAATTCTGGAATAAAGGAGGGCCCGCCTGGCAGAAGATTGTTGTTTGTCTCGTCTTTGATGGCATCGACCCTTGTGACAAGAACACGCTTGATGTCCTGGCCACCGTTGGCGTCTATCAAGACGGAATCATGAAACACGATGTCGATGGTAGGGAGACTGTTGCTCACATTGTCAGCCACCCTGCCCTTTACCGATTTCTTTCAGTCATCCATTAACAACCATTAGTTTGAGTACACGACTCAATTATCAATTACCCCTACGCAACAGTTGGTTCGTCCTCATGCTGATGAGCCAACCAATCTGCCGCCTGTCTAGATGATATTTTGCCTGAAGCAGAAGAACAGTAAGAAGATTAACTCACATCGATGGCTTTTCAATGCCTTTGGCAGGTTACTGAACCCTGAGGTTGTTATTCTAATTGACTCCGGTACAAAGCCGGGGCACAAATCTTTACTTGCTCTATGGGAAGCGTTCTACAATAACAAGAATCTGGGAGGGGCATGCGGTGAGATTCATGCGCTATTAGGGCAACGATGGGGAAAACTATTGAATCCTCTCGTGGCTGCGCAGAACTTTGAGTATAAAATATCTAATATCTTAGACAAGCCCTTAGAAAGCGCTTTTGGTTACGTTAGTGTTTTACCAGGTGCATTCTCTGCTTATCGGTACCGAGCTATAATGGGTCGGCCTCTAGAGCAGTACTTCCATGGAGATCATACTTTATCTCAAAAGCTCGGCAAGAAAGGTATCGAAGGAATGAATATATTCAAGAAGAATATGTTCCTGGCTGAGGACCGTATCCTATGCTTCGAGCTCGTTGCGAAGGCAGGTTCTAGATGGACATTGACGTATGTGAAAGCTTCCAAAGGGGAAACAGACGTGCCAGAAGGTAGGAACAAGTATTTTGGATATGATACTGAAGTTCATGAATTCTGACTCGACCAGGTGCTGCAGAATTCCTGAGCCAAAGACGTCGCTGGCTCAATGGCTCCTTTGCGGCGAGCTTATATTCAGTCATGCATTTCACTCGCATTTATAAGAGCGGACACAATCTCCTTAGATTGATTGCCTTTCATGTTCAGTTAGTTTACAACATTTTCCAGCTCATCATGACATGGTTCTCCCTCGGTAGGTCCAAGTATTAGAGAGTATTATGGCCAGGGCTAACTTGCTGCAGCATCCTATTGGCTGACCAATTCTGTCATTATGGATATTGTGGGAACACCCAGCAACACAAACAAGAACAAAGGCTGGCCATTTGGAAATGAAGCGACTCCTATCGTAAACAACTTCATCAAAATCACTTACCTTGTCTTCCTCATGCTCCAATACATCCTTGCTCTTGGTAATCGACCAAAAGGGTGAGGGCTCCGTCCAACTTTGAAGAATACAAAAAACTTTTTATATACGGTGCTAATGGTAACTAGATCGAAAGTGGCTTATACATTGTCATTCGTCTATTTCTCTATTGTTCAGGCCTACATTCTGGTTCTGTCATTTTACCTTGTAGTACAGGCATTTAGCGGTGGTAATCTCGACCTCGATGTTGACAACGGGATCAAAGGGTTCGTCGGATCATTTTTCGCTTCCACTGGCGGACTCGTGATGATCGCATTAGTTTCGACGTACGGGATCTATTTCTTATCCAGCATTCTCTGCCTTGACCCATGGCACATGTTAACATCCTCATGGGCCTATTTCCTGGGCATGCCCTCGTCCACCAACGTCTTGATGGTCTACGCCTTCTGCAACTGGCATGATGTATCATGGGGCACCAAGGGATCTGACCAAGCTGGATCACTACCGTCAGCGCAAACGAAGAAAGCAGATGCAAAGACAAACTTCGTTGAAGAACTGGATAAGCCACAAGCAGATATCGATACTCAGTTTGAGATCACAGTCCGACGAGCTCTTTCCCCGTGGAAGGAACCTGAGGAGAAGGACGACGCTAATCTAGACGATTCTTATAAACGCTTTCGCACGAATCTAGTGCTACTATGGGTTTTGAGCAACTCGTTCTTGGCATTATGTATCAACAACGACGGTATCAGGAATCTGTGCTTGACAGTATGTTGAACTCAACTGAAAGAGAGCAATCCCAACTAACGAAAACTGCCAGACTTCTTCCACAGGCCGTACAGCCTGGTATTTCAAGATTGTTCTTTGGGCAACATCCGCTCTGTCAATTTTCCGGTTCATCGGCGCTCTTTGGTTCTTGGGGAAGACTGGTGTATTATGCTGTATTTCTAGGCGTTGATTCTCACCTTGTATTGGTACGTTATCCTGAAGCTAGTTGATATTGTATTGGGTACTATTAATATATTAGTGGTGGTTCCGACCACCCACCGCGGTGGGTGGTCGGCAGCGTAAAGGAAGAAAATGAAGCAATTCGCATTATCACCACTAAACGCCCGTAGAATCAATAAAAAAAAGTTGATTCCCTGGTTCCTCTGCCAATCCTGTATTTGAGGCTGCAGGTTTATTTTCTGTATAAGGCGCTGGCAGGGAGTGACCGTACGCCTTTATATATGCTTCATTTGCTGCTTTCTTATTCTTTTCATTATCTTTGGCCTTCCTGTTTACATAGACCGATTTACATTCTTTACGCGTAGTATACCACTATCCCCGAGGCGTTGAACCTCTCGCTTAGACCTTTTATGCCTTCAGGATGCCTGCGCGGCCTTAATTTGCTCAAGAGTTGAATTCATGATAGCAAGCTGTTCAGATTGAAGTTTTTGCTGATAAAATAAGTGCTTAAGATAGCGTTCAACACGAGGATTGATTGGTGTATCACTATTTAGAAGTTTGAATAGCTTTTTCTGATTCTTTTCAACTTGCTGAGCGCTCTTTGGAGGTATATTTTCAACACTGGAAGATAGAGGGTTCGGAGGAGGTGTATTCTCACTGTATGCACAAAGATCAGGTGCAGAGATCTGTGGTAATGATAGTAAAGTATTTTGAATAGCTTCAATAATTAAAGATCTATCTGTAGGAAAGATACCATGTTCTTTAAAAGAGTTGTAAATAAGATATGGATTAAAGGTCTTCTTATATATGGCAATAATATTGTGTAGAAAATTTACTTTATCTCCTGGAACTCCACATCACTGTGCGATGAGGTTATTTACACTGCGAATATGTTTTATATGTTAGAAAGGGCTTTCCATCAAGCGGTTGGCAGAGATAAGTTATATGAGGCCGGAAGTAAAAAGAAAGAATCTTGTAGGTCTTGTAGGGTTAAAGAAATTTAACTATTTTAGGAGCTATATAGCTGTTAAAGATAAGTATATATATTTTTTTCTCTTTTATATATAATCTTTAGTCTCCTGGTGAAATTTTTGAAGTCATTCAGGCATGATTTCATTATTTATATAGCCTTTATCAGTGACTGCAGTATAGTAATTGGGAATCCTTTCATCATACCAGGCCTCTATAAATTTCTTTCCTTTAAAGATAAAGAGTGGGATCATAATCCAGCTATCTGCAGTAATACACTCAAGCGCAGTAATATTCTCTGTATGCTTAGCTTAGAAAGATCAGGAACTCTTTCCTTTATATCAAGTACTTTTTAAGACTTTTTACTGCCTGGTTAAAAGCTATATTCATTAAAATTATATACAAGGCGAGCGGGGATATCTTTAAATAAGTTGGCAAGCTGATTATACCAGAACTGAAGCTGTCTAATATTCTCTATATCCAAGCGCTTCTTTTCCTTTGTATTTTGAATTACAGGGCCTAATTTAAGGTCAGGAGAAAGCCTTTTAGTGAAGTAATATACCCACAATCAGCTGACACTCTGCATAGGATAAACACGCTGTACAGTAAGGTTCGCCCATTCTAAAAGTAATGAGATAATCACGCGAAGGTGGATATCATATATTTTAGCAATCCATTATCTTAAAGCAGTCTCTTGATACTGATTTAGCGCTTTAATTGGTGCATTTCGAGCCGTACAAGGCTATCTTTAATTATGAATGCGGCCGTGGAGTGTGCGATAAGGAATCCCGAATCCTCGCGCGATCTTTGCAATATTGGGTTTTCCTTGGAGGCAGGCAGCCTCAGCGGCTTTATTTACGTGTATATCTGAAATTTCAGATGATTTAGGCTTTTTTATGGTTTGTATAGCTTCAAAAAAATAGGAAATTGGTTATCTTCCTTTACGCTGCCGACCACCCACCGCCTTTCGCCGGTGGGTGGGTGGTCAGAACCGCCACTAATACATATAATTTTGGAGTTGAGTTTGACAATTCACCCTACTATGATTTTGAGGACTACTTAAACTTGCTACCAGTCAGTTTTGCGTAGAAGTTGAATTAGGCATAACAGTGGGGCCGACAGGAGTCTAGAACAGATTTCATTTAGTTTTTAAGATATTCATATTCGCAAAGACAGTCACTTATGAAGAAGTATTTGGAACTCTTGCTGCGCCCCAATCTCTTATGCGCAACAACGAATACCCACAAACAGGAATAGAAACCCATTTGGGACGTCACTCAGGTTCAATGTATCGCTTCTCATCCTCTTGCCTTGTTACTCAGTACACAATGGGATAGATAGTCTCACTCATGAGCGATGTAGATTTTTATATATATGGATCGCCTCAAGCCCCCCACAGCCCGACTGACAGGAACAGCCATGGAGTGGATCTCATGGGGGAGCGTATTAGGTGTAATTGCTTGTCTTCCGGCTGATGAAATCGGTTCTAGCCCTGCAGGTACCGTGCAGAGAGCATATTCTTCATTCCATCATTCCCGGATCGGTGTTTTGTCAGAGCCTATTAGAGCCTAAGGCATAAACCACGTGACCTGACCACAACACCAAGGAATCTCTGTAAAGTAGATTTAGACCTTAAGACAATCAATCCGACACATGTGAGCTCCATCAGCTCCATCATGTTTTTTGCAGATATCTCATGTTGCGCATACCCTAAGCCACTGGAGTCCTACTAAAGCTTAGTGTCGACGGTACCTGATTGTTCTTATTTTTATTCTTATTTTTATTCTTATTTTTATTCTTATTTTTATTCTTATT